CGCAGCAGAGCGTAACGCCGACTGTAGTTGAAATGACCAAGAGAAAGACAGAGAGAAAAGTAAAGTACAGTAAACCCAAAAATAAGTGATAACTTTCTGACATAGAAATTTTATATTTTATAAAAAATTTAAAGTTATACCCGATTTTAAAATAATATATTAATATATTATAACATGTTTCATAATCCCTTTAGTTTTCACAAGTTCACCGTATCGAATGGGTTCTGTAGATGATGGCGAGGGTGATACAAATGGATGGGGGAGTGCGTGTGTTTCGAGGGGGTGCCAAAAAGGGGGTGGCACGTCAACGAATCGTAATTTATTGATCAGCATATAAAAAAAAAGTATAGGATAGAGCGAAAGCAAAGGCAAGAACAAGAAAGCGACAAAGTAAAATAAAATATAATAAAAATAAAAGCCAGCGCATAAATAAATAAAAGAGCGACATCGCATAAGAAAGGAAAGAAGGGGAGAGAAAACTTGGCGTTCGTATTTATCATTATTTTTTGGCAAAAATAAATTAGAATTAGATACATACACACACTCGGATACAAAGATACAACAGATACACAGATACAATCCGCCAAGAAATGCGTAGATACAGAATACAGAATATACAGAATACAAAAACAACGACGACACATTTCCAGTTTGACCAAAAATCGGGGAACCAGCGGGGCTACGGGGTCTTGGGGTCTCACATATGGCTGCAATTAAGTAATTTTTGGAGCAACAGCAACAACAACGAATAATGATATATAGACGAAACATGCTAGACATAGAACGCGAGAAACTGCCCGAAAAGCTAAACAACAACAAAAAAAAAAATGTAAGAAAGAATACGAAATTAAATATAAAACGAAACGAAAATTCGACAATTAAACCGAAAAAATCATGAAGAAGAAGTGGAGAAGCAAAAACCGACCCCACATGAAATTTGTGTTGTGCCTCCATATAATATCCCCAATCCCCAAAACAGATGTGCTCAGATTGTTAGCACTACTATGTTTTTTCACAAGATCTGGTGCAAATATAATGTGTAGCTTTTGTTATAAGAAGAAACCAAGTTCCCTATAGATAATTTCCGTTCCTATAATATTATTCAATTTTCTAATTATGTAGTTTATTTATTACTCATTATATTTTCCATCTCAAAACTTAAAAAATGTTTGACTATAAAGTTTTTTTAAAAATATTAAATAAAAAACGGTAAAAACTGTTGGTGTGACCGCACTTGTATCTCCCCCTTTGAGTTCTGAACGCACACATGAATGTTATACTCGCTTGGTCACACACATCTCTATGTATGTACATTTATACAAAGTTAGATTCTCTTTCTTCTTCTGCTCTTCTTTTTATTTAGCTGTTTTTACTCGAAGTAACTGCTGTTGTTGTTATTAAATTTTGCTTTTAATATTGTTGTCAGCTACAAAAACAATAAAGACAGCTCTAGAAAGAGAAAAAGAATCAGAAACAGCCGTAAAGCCAAAAATAAATTTAATGTGCTTCAAGGTTAGCCAAAAAGCAGCGACGCGCACGAAACGAAAAAATAAATTACCAAAAAAAAAAACATTGTACAAAAAAGCAAAAAAAAAAAGGAACAACAAAGTGTACGCCAAAAAAGAACGCACAACAAAATAAAATTCGTGATGAATTTTAAACAATAAAAACAAACAGCAAACAAATGTTGAGATAGTAGGAGGAGGAGGAGGGATGGGGGATAATGAATGGGGAGGGCTGGTGGGTGAGGGGGCCAAGGAGAGGTGAAGGCAAACGTTATACGAAAAATTTTGTTGGGAAGAAAGAGGAGAAAGGGAGGCGAAATAGGAGGGGCAATCCAAGAGTCTGGGAAACTATCTCTATAGGTTCGATCATAATTGATCCTAACTAAGATTTTGAATTTGTGATGATTATAATTATATAGAAACCAATAAACAGCTTTCTTCTTAAATTAAATTATAAAATACTTATTCTAGGGTACTCTTCACTTGATTCTTCTGCTTCTTCCAAAGAGAATTGCTATTTGTGAAGCTTTTTACGGGCTTCGCATTTTCGACTGTCGACAAGTTGACAAATGGCAAACCGGTTTGGCTTTTGGCCAAGCACCCCACCCCCTCCCCTTCTCGAAAAGCAACTAACACTCATTTCGAATGGAGTAAATATATAAATAAAATACTCGTTAACAAATCAACAAAATGCATACGAAATTTTAGCAAATTTTGTCTGATCAAAACGGGAAATGAAAGCGCGTGGGCGAGAGAGCCGGCATCGAATATCGAATCGGGCATGGCGATTCGATAGGGATAGGGGCCCTCTGTACGAACAGCAATTGGCTAACAAATTGCCCGAAAATTAACTGAACGCATTAAGCTGATTGAAAGTCGACGATTGCTTCAATGTTTTCAACCCCTTTCTGTAGGGATTTTATTCGGTTCTCTTTCATCTGCTTAAGAGGTTTAATACTATTTTTTAAAAAAAGTGTTGTTAAGCTGTTCCAATTAATAACAAAAATAAGTAAATGGTCAGAAAAATATTTGTTTACCTAAAAAAAAAACGTTCATATTAAAAAAAAAATTAGTCGGCAGAAGCGGATCGAACCAAAGGCCCAGAGATTGCCCAGACACTCCAAGTCCAGGAAAAATAGTTAATCCACAATAAATACAAAATTTTGTGTTATTTTTTATGTTTTTTTTTTTATTAGCAAGGGTAAATGTTTTAGGGAACTTTCTTTTCCAGTGGTCTAGTTGATCTTTAAGATAGTCGATATGTCTGCTTATCCTGTTTCAACTCCAAATGGGGTTTACTTGTTGCTGCAAGTCCCACCCACCTCTGAGTATCGCTATGGTATATCTATAGTATTGGTCAAATCTGTTGAAATGTTTACGTTTGCCGCATGCATTGCGCACTGACTGACTGACAAACAGAGGGTTTCCGCAGGGGGTTCACCCATTTGTATTTTGTATTTGTTTGCGGTGACAATTTTCATTTTCATTGCTTTGGGAGCACACATGTGCTTGCAGTCATTCATACGACGCACATACATATTTTTGTGGAAATTATTCACGAAAATGCCTGACAGCCGTCGCAACTTTTGAAAGCCATCTCCGCATCACATAGAATGGATTTGGTACTTTTTGTATTCGGGGGATGGGATGGCAGCGACGACTGACTAGCTGAATATTGGGATGGGATTGGGATGGTTCGGTGCTATATGCTATATGGTTGGCTGCTCGGCTGAGGGGTCTCAGTATTGTCAGTCGTTGCCAGTCAAGGCCATAAACTAATCCCAACGCCCAGACTTCCAGCTTCAGTTTGAGCTTATTAATGCGCACTATATGGTTAAAGCGCCATTTGGGCGTTAGTTGGGCGCCACTTTTCGGCTGTCTCTCTTCTTGTGAGCATAAGTGGATCCCAGGCACTTGAAAAAAGGGCTTGAATTTTGGCTTAAATTGTTAAATTTTAAATTTTTTTTTTTTTTATATAGAAATTTAAAGCTAATTTAAAATCTTATACTGAAGTGACTGAGGCTTTGGAATCTATTAAATTCAGTTTAGTAATACTTTTGGATTAAATAATTTTAACAAATTAATTATACAATTTTTTTTTATTTTTTATTTTTTTATTTCTTTTTTTTCTGTTTTTTAAAACAATATAAAATATAAAAATTGTTTTGCAGTGTGGACACATGTCTTAGCTCTTTTTTTTGTTTCTTTGGAACATTAGACTTTCCCTTAGAAACCCCCTCTCTCTGATCTGTGAAGTGCGCCTCTGCCTTCCCCCTTGACAGTTGCTGTAACTACTGCGTCTTCGTCTGTCGTTTGTTGTTCTGTTCTGGACTGCCAACAATGGCCATCATTCATCGCTCATTCACTGGCACTGGCAAAAGCAAAGGCAAAAGCAAAGAGTTCTGCGGCACAGAGCGTGTACATTGTACCCCCCTTAGGGGAATGGGAATGGGGGTTGGCCCAGAGTGGTGGGGTGTGACATTTGCCGCAATTCTATGGCATAAATTCGCTGGCGATAAAATGCGCAACTGGCAATGCGATTCGGGATAAGTCCTTTGGCCTCCGAGGCCTGAATTCCAAGGGGTTGCTAGATTGCTATATTGCTAGATTGCCAGTTTGATAGTCCGATGGTTGTTCGCAAGGGGGGTGTGTTGTAATGCTCTCGGGGGGGTTGATCATAAAAATATTTATTAATGAATGCCTCAAAAGAGTCCCGAGTTTCGCCAAATTGTTCATAAATTCAATTGGCAATGGTGTTTTGTGTATCCGTATCCATATCTATAGCATTTAGTATCTGTGGGTGCTTTTGCCTGTGCAAAAATATACACAGCAGCTGATTAATGAAGACAAACACCTGTTGACCTCTGTATCTGTGTGCCTTCTTCGACGATGAGTTGGAATGTATCTACCTCTCACCATGAAAATTAAACTCTCAATTATTTGAATGAATTTGCTAAATATTAAGAGGTAGAAGAGGTTTTTCTTATCTAACCTACCCATCAGCCTTATCTATCATTCATTACAAACTAGAATTCCCTAAAAGTTCAATCAATGCCCGGTCTTTGAGTGGGTTTATTAAAAAATGAATGATTTTACAAGAACTGAATACTCTGCTGTATTGAAAGAAATGCGAAATTCATAAGATATGGGGGCTGGGCACTTTAACTTAAGTATTCCCCGAGGAATATATGTATGTATGTAGTAATGGACTTTGGGGCCTTGGGGATTTCAGTATGTGTTCTACGTCTTTGAGAACTCCACCCTGAGCAGCGTGGTGAAACCTTTGACCACTGCTCCCTGAATGGCTGTATTGGGGGAACTTTCCCAGACTTTCCAGTCACGAGAGAGAGGTAATATCGTATGGGGGATATTGTTTAAGTTGTTTATTCGCGGTCAGTTTGCGATAATGTGCAGCAACGTGTGAGGAAAGTCACGTACTTGATGGGAAATGGGGATGGGGATGGGGATTGGTTTTCGGAAGTACATATTTCTCACCTGTTGGGGAATCTCTCTCTCCTTCTCTCTCTCTCTGTCTCTTTGAAGAGGAGCTCTGCCCACCTGCTGCTGCTGCTGATTGTCTCCGGTGGCGGACACCTGTTTGGGCCTCCTTGTTTCTTTCAGTTTCAAATGGGTAGTTTGCGAAAGGGGTGGGGACTTGTACTTGTGACACTAAAGCGTGACGCTGTTGTAAGGCATTTTGGTAGTTGTTGTTGTTATTTGTTGTTTAAAGCACTTTGTGGGTTCAACACTTTAAAAAAATTTGTTATAAGATCTCTTTGATTTTTTTTTGGGGATTACAATATAAACTTTATCTTAAATATCTTGATTAACACTTGCGTATCGCGAGTTTTTTTTCTTTTTGGGCTTAGTTTGATTTATTTCAAGGGGGCTTGGGGTTTTGTGTTTTCGGTTTTTGTGTTTTTTTAAGTTTTCAATTTCCGCTGCGAATGTGTAGCGTTTCAGAGTTGCTCACACGATGAAACAAACACGTTGAATAAAAGTTCGAGCGACGTTCAAATTCGCTTAAAGCCAATAAGTCAGCCAGTGGCAGCGACTGCGGCAGCGGCGGCGGCAGAGTGCGATTCTAACGGCGCGAGAACGGAACGAATGGAACAAGTGGAACGGGCGAGAAACGAGAGGGAAATGAAACGGCCACAAGGCGCGGCCGGCCGACCGTCCGTCGATGTGTTGTTTTTGTTGTTTTCGTGGTCGGTCGGTCGTTCTAAGTCGGATCCGTCATCAAATCTAATAAGAACGAACGCCAGTGGTTGTTGTGTGTAGAAGGGGGTGGTAGCAGGGTAGAGGGGGGCCGAGCGGAACGGAACGGCACGGAACAGGGGGTGGGTTGGTCGGCTGGCTGGCCAGTTGGTTGGTTGGAGCGGCGCAGTCGGCGACAGCGGCGTTGCGTTCGAGTCCGGTACTCTGAAGGCACTGAAGTGCCGACCGAGTCGACCGAACGACAGACGCGACGCACCGCTGCGACGTTCCGACGGCGAACGACCAACGACCGACCGGCGGAACGATTGGCAAACGGGCAACGCCAAACAAATAAACAAACGCTCCACAAACATTGCCCAGGGGCGTAGTCACATATTCACATGGCAAAATATTTACAGGCGGCATATAAACGATTTGAAAAGATAATTTCTTTCAAAATAGTTATAAAAAGTTGTTAATCGCCATTCTGTTATGTATTAATGTTATTTATTTCTTGTTTATACTCAACGTATTATAGCCATTAAGTTAATTGATTCACGTTTGAAAATTTATGATTTCTACTAAAAAAGAAACAAAATATTTTTAATGTTTATATAGTAATGTTCTCATAATCCATACTTTAAGCTGAAAATTGTTGCAGGATCGTTTTCTCGGACTTACACTCTGAATTTCCATACGCTTTCAAAGTTTAAAGCCTTCTTAAAATGTAACTTGCAAACGAGAAAGCGATCCTAAGTAGATCAACATATGTTACTTAATTTAAATTTTATACCAGGATCTGATTGAGTGACTGCGAAACACTATGCCTATGACTTTATAAAAAGTTTTATAAAGCAACTTTTTACATTTTCAAATAACTCGATAAAGAGTCCCCATTCGGGCGCCACTGGCGCATGGAAGTAGAGGTGGAAGTGGAATCGGAACAGCAGCGTAGATATCCGAAATTCAAGTGCCAGTGCGAGTGTGTGTGTGTGTGTGTTTGGCTTTGGCTGCTGTTCGCCTTTTGGCTTTTCAGCTTTCTGGTTGGAAGCAGAATCGAAAAAAGCAAAAGGCTAAAACGAAAACCAGTGGCCAAGAGAGCAGAAGAATTTTGGAAGGTTGGCAGGGAATTTGCATAGCTGAAAAAGAGGACTTCGACTAACTACTGATTTTTATTTAGTGCAAAAATAGGCAAAAACCCATTGTTTGCTTATCAATATTACTGATATTTTTTTTTACTTTCGAATTAACCATCGAATCTTGTGACCCACCACGAAAAACCATACCTCCCACGCCACCCATTTCACTGGCACTGGCGAAACGGAATGGAACGCTTGCAATCGGAACGGTTGCTGCACACACTCATTCGCATTTCAAATGCAGCGACGTCGGCAGCGGCGCCGTGACCTTGAAAACCTTTTTTATGCTCATTACCCCTTTGCGCTCACTCTCATATTTTCAAGCTTAGACGGCATGCGCAGCCGACTTACAGTGTTGCACTTAATGATTCGATATTTGCACTCAATGATTCGATATTTTTTTGAGAGTCCTTACAATCCCTCGAATATTTGCGAGCTCTTAAACTTTGTAAGGCCTATTTAAACCCTAGCTACACAGTTTTGGAAAAATATTTTTTTTTTAAATACCATTTAATACGATTAATTCTGTGTGTGTATTGCATAAATGCCAGAACTCATGGCCTGTGATAAGGAAGCCACCGTTATCCGTTATCGCTGGTCAGCTATCAGTTATCAGTTTAAGGGGATAGGTAAGGCAGACGCAGAGGCAACAGAGCTTAACTAAGGGGAAATGAAAGGAGTAAGTAAGGTAAGTTAAGTCCCAGGAAAGAGTTGCAAAAGGAGTGGCTTAAAAATCAATTGAAGGGGCTGGGGATGGAGATTGGGTTTGTGGGTAGAGTGGGATTAAAACACCGGCAACAAAAACGCCGGCTATAAATGAGCACCAAAAACAATAACAAATTCTCAGTGCGGCGGGGGAAAAAGAGAGAGAGAGAGAGAGGGCCGGAGAGCAACCGGCTGTGTTCCATTCCGTTCCGTTCCCCACTCAGTTTGTTTGTCCCACTCACGTTTCCACGCGACCGACGAAAGAGCGGCGAAAAGCGAAAGCTTCGTGCAGCTTCGTATCGATTCGTGTGCGTCTTCGTGTCCCAGTGAATGTACAGTGAGTTCTATAAATAGACTCTTACTCGCATCATGCGCCGTCCCCATTCGCCGATGATCGCGTCATCCCAACTCCGATTGGCCCGGCGGCGGGCTCCCAATAGAGGCAAAAACAAAAACAACAATAGCAATAACATAGCCCACTGGGGCAGCAACGGGGCAACAACAATAGTTTGAGCAAAATACAAGTATTCCAACACAGAAAAGTTCTATGTCGCCGTTGCCGTTGCCGCTGTTGGCATCTAATAGTGAATTTATAAAGGAATAAAATGAGTATTAAAAAGCGCCGAGCGGCGCGCAGGCGAATGAACATGGACGGCGGGGAGGGGGCGCGCTGGGGTGACGGGGGCGGTGGCATATGGAAATTTTTCTGCGACGTCCGAAGCGTGCCAAAAAGTGCCCCAAAGAAAGTGCCCATAGGAGCGCATATACAGTAAAGGTAGCACAAATAGGGCTACCATTAAGTGTGCCTATCTTGAGAAAAAAATTTACAAATTTAAAATATTTAAAATATTTAAATTTAATTCATTTATTATTTTACACTTTTGGTTTTTTTAAGAACACATTTTTTGTTGCATACTTTTTGAATACCCAATTTTTTATTGCCTTCATTTTGAATACCCAATTTACTTTAATTTTTTCATTTGATTTATTCATTATTTCACAGTTTCGATTTGTTCTGAACAAATTTTTTGTTGCATAATTTTTTTTGCTTATTTTTGAATAGCCAATTTTTTGCTTACTTTTTGAATACCCAAATTACTCTCTGTTTTACCAGGGGAGAGGGGATTTATACCATTAACCCATTACCTTGGGGACTTTATAGTACCCAGTTGTTTCCGATTTGATCGTAGCTGTACCAATTTCACACCGAGTGGGCAACGCCGAAGATTACAAGCGACGACGGATCTGCGGCTGCTGTGCGCCTGTTCGCACTTTTGCAACAACAGTGGGAGAAGCTTAACTGTGTGCTTGTGTGGGTGTGTGGGGCTATAACCCTCCACCCACCCTCTACTGCATCCCCTCTTAGTCAATTGGAATTGTCAGTTTTCGCTGCACTTGCATTTATAGCTAAAATTTTCCTTTTAATGAAATGCTAAAATGTGTTATGTAAAGCCGCAAAAATGGCGACCCCTCGTTAGTCGACCTAGGGAATACCCCTTGGGATAATACGTATGGTATGACCCCCGAACGGTCCAATGTATCTACCATTCTGCCAGCGAAAAACTACAGGGTATCAAGCAAAGCGATTTCAATAGCAATTGCTTTGCGCTCTCTGCATACGTTGTATATGCAAATAAAAATTAATCATTGCAAACTAACAAAAACCCATAAAAAATCAACTTAACATCAATTTGGTGTGTCTAGAATGGGGTCGCATCGTTGATACCCAGCACTAACATACCCAGGATGTAAAAAAGTCAGAAGATTTGTAAAACAAGTAGCCGACATTCATAACAACATTTTTTGTTGCACACTTTTTGTATACCATATTTTTGTAAACTTTACAAATTATGAGCCATATTTACAGATATGATATTTATTCGCTTTAGTCATAAACTAGGGTAAAATAGTAAGATACTTTTCGGAACGCCCATCTCTTGTTTTATGACTTCCCTCAGTTAGTCGACCAGTTCTCCGCTCTCCAGAGCTCAAGCAAAAAAATGCAATGGCGAATGATGACTTTGTGGCAATAATTAGACACAAAATTGAAATAGTGTCGCCTGAGACGGAGAAACGTGCGACGCAAAAAAGCGAAATTAAGAGTCAAATTAGCATACTGAGCGATCGGCCGATCGATTGAAGGGATCTTATTGGAAAAACTCGGGGGGGAATTCAGGGAGATGGGTCGACTAATAAACTAATGAATGCACTCTGGGTGAGAAGCCCCGGAAATGCCGGATGAGCTAATGTGTGTTGGGTAAGATCAGGGTCAGGAGTTAATCACCACCGGGGAGCTAAAATATAGAAGCCATCGATCAGCCCTCGCATTGTCTTATGTCCAACGGCTTATGGCTCATACATTACAGCTTCCAGTCACTTGATTTATCTATCGTGTAAGTGTCGAATGGCCAATGCCAAGCCCAAAACCAAGTTAGAACACACACGACGACGACCAAGACAATGGCAATGACAACTACCAGTTATCCACTGTGCACAGTGGCGGGGGTTCCCGGAGGAGCAGAAGGGGGGGCTTCTGGGTGGAGGAACTGCCGAAATATCTGACTGATCACTTGTTGTTTACAGTTTACAGCGGGACTTGTTTATTCACTCTCGAAGAAGGCTTATAGACAGGGGTTAGGGGTCTGGGGTCTATACAGTCTACGTCTGACTCTGAGTTCATTCCGTTGGATCGATTCTTGGCTACTGGATTTCGTTTCTTTTGTTTTACTCTATCTATCCAAAGGGGTTATCCAACTTCTGCAAAATTCATATTGATGTCAATGAGACTTAAGATACCCAGTATCCTTGCTGAATATTTTTAGGATCGAATGACACAATCGTTTGGTTGATCAGCTGCAAGACGACAACCTTCGCATAATTGATTGCCATGAAGCTTGGCAATAGAATTCTATAGTATAGTATTTCTTATCAACTCTTATAGATTTGAGCTTTGAACGTCATAAAAAAAAAAGTCAGAATGAAAGAGAATTTCTTATCACAAAATGACGTAGAATAGCAAATTATTCACTTAAAGTTAGCGTAAACTGAAAATAGTATCAGAAAGTATTTTAAGAAGAGCATTTCCGTTTCGGTCTTCAGATCTAGAATCTTACCTATTGGCCTAATGTTTTCTAACCATTGTCTGTAGATTTTCGATATTCAAATCTTGTTTTTTCCGCATGCCAGCACCACTAGATACATATATGTATGTGTGGAAATCGGAGATCAGTGCGACAGAGATTAACACGTCGAGGTGAAGCCATTGGGTTAAGTGACACGATCGATGGCCAACCTGTCCCCAAGTTCGAGCCGCTAAGCGTCGGCTATTATTGATTAGTGAGCCATGGCAACATCTTAATGCCCAGCGAGTC